CAATAAGATTAAATACACATAAATAAATCTGGAGTGTATATGCATTTTAAAACACAAAACAAAAAGGGGGCAAAACAGATGTTCTTGTTAACAAACAATGCATATCTCTGTGCAAGTTCACATGCATTGTGAGAAGTGTAGAAAATATCTAAAATGTTCATCCCATGAATACATTAAGCAGAAGTTGTAATACTTTATTTCCTGTGTGGCTGAAATGAAACTTTCTTCTGAGACAGTCTGAGAGCGTAAAACTAATTTGTGTCTTTCTGAAATTACTTTATATGTTTATATGTTCTGCAAAACAAAGAAAAATATTAAATGGTCTAAGAAAGAACGTAAAGTGCTGTGATCCTCACAAGCAGAGCTGGTGTCGCATCTTAACAATCTGGGACTGTTAAAACACACAGCCCAGAGGTCAGAGGTCAGAGCCTGCCAAAGTGTCAAGCCCACTGGACGATAAGTGTAAGAAGTGTCCTTAATAAATGCAGTTTGTAGAACAAATACACTGTTGTTGTGACGCAGCGAGTCGCAGGAGTCGAGTTTTGCAGATGAGTTTCAAAACATTGTATGTGACCATTTAGTGGCACACTGATGTGTCAGCAGCAATGCATGTTTATTGAGACATATTCAACAAATTGCACTTGTTTTTCAGGATTTTCATCTTTAATTTTTCTTGACTGATTTCTAAAAAAGGGAATTGTTTTGATGTCCTGTGAGTTACTTATTCATCAATGTATATTTAAGCTTACTAAACTTGCACTATGTGCAGTTCTTGCGTATGCTACATTTGTTATAGTCGTATGCAATGCTTTTACTGGGTCACATGGGGCTGGAGCCTATCCCACCTGTAATATGGCACAATGGAAAGGTGACCTGTCTATTGCAGGGCTAACACAGAGAGACAACCGTTCACACTTAGACCAACACTCTTTCAAACATTTTTCTTTATTTAATATGAGAAACTGATTAAAACGTTTCTTGCAGGCCTAAACAGTTTGTCAGGTCGAGTTACCTTTCCGTGCCAAGAACATGCCAAGCAGGCCAGCCACGGTGATGGTGCCAAATCTGGGCAGAAAACCAGGAGGAGGGTCCTTCAGGTAATAGTATAAATCTGAAGAGCAGATAACAGAAATCAAAATACTGACAAAAATACATTCAGCTTCCTTTAAAGAAAAGGTGTGAACTGTATCACTAATATTGGGACTACCATTAAACTGTAACTAAAAAAAATAACTTTAAATAGATCACTCTCTCCCTCTAATGTCTTACTGTGGGTAAGACTGAAGTACTGAATACATCACAAATTAAATATGTTTCTAAAGGTGCTATTTACATGAAAGTCTGACCAGATGTGTTAAATAACCCATCCAATCCACAAATGCCACAATATCAAACCAAAGATGCCCATAAATTAAGTTATGTGTAATAATGAGAAATCACACAGGGAGAAAGTATTGTACACACAGTATCAAACTTCACTGTTGGTATGGCGTTTTGGGGGTGATATGCAGCGCCTCTAGTGCTGCTTGACTCTCAGACAACTCTTCTGATAATTCTTTTCACTCTGTCTGAAATCTTGCAGGAGGCATCTGGTCATGGTCGGTTTATGGTAACATGATGTTCTTTCACTTTGCTCACTGGAACCTTCACTAGTTTAGAAATTCTTCGGTATGTTTTGCAACGGCCTTGAGAGAGCTCATTGGTTTTACACCTTAGTAATGAGACCCCTTCTTATAGGCCATCAGTTGGTGAAGAACCAGCTAATATTAATTTGCACTTTGCACAAGTGGCAGGACTGATTTAAGCTACTGTCATGACTTTCCACGACTTTTTGCACCTCCCTTTTCATGCGTTTGATACTTTCCCCTGTGTCATTTCTCGCTATTACACATAATTTATGGACATATGTGGTTTGATTTCTTTGCATGTGTGAAATAGATGGTTTGTTACAGACACCTGGTGAGAATTTCACATCAATAGCACCCCTTGAAATATATTTACTTAGTAAATGTGTGACATGCTGAAAACTTTAAATGTCTTATTATTATTGAAATTTTATATTTAGGTGCAATGTAACTAGGACTGTTGTTTGCCTGTTGTTTACTCACCTTCTCCAGCATGATATAGATCAATACTTCCCCTTTTCACAGAGATACAGGCACCCTGCAGGGAACAGAAGACTAAACTGAAACCACTACAAAAGTTCATCAAGAACAAGCCTGTTTAAGCAACACTGAAACAGATACATGTGAGTCAGTGCTAACTGCTCACCCCCACCCAACAACCCGTGTTTCACAGAATCAAACTGTCAAATCTTCTTGCAGCAAACTTCATGCAGTTTAACTTCAGTTAAACTGCATGACGTTTCCTGTCTAACTCCTAAACCTGCAAGAATCCTTCCTGCACCGAGCACTTGCAGCATGTGGGATCATGCTCTGTAAACCACAATGAGCAGCAAAAAGATAGTGGCGTCAACTAAATTCGCAGGTGCAAGATAAGAGTTCTCTGGTGCATTTTAGCTGTCATATGTTTAAATATAAACATGTTTCCACCACCTGCTCGTGTTAAAAGTGCAGAAGAGGATGTGAAAGCATGAGCTACATCAGTACTTGGCGGTGAATGTGAATGAGATTTTTTCCTACATGCAGCTTTACATGTACACAAAGGGGGGAAAAACGTGAATACCTTTACAGCGTGCACAAATGGTAGTACTGTCTCTCTGGCTGTAGTCACTCCACCCTCGATGACCCCCGGACTCTCTGGGACAAACTTACTCTGAGCAGACTGCAACACCGGGTTGTAGATGTTGAGCTGGGGAAAGGGAGGTAGAGAGTTGGTGTGTTATTATGGCTATGAATGGCAATATCCCATAAATATCATGAATACACACCTTTTCTCGAGTAACCAGCCCATCAGCGGGCGCTTCATTCACAGAGTACACACGGAGGGAGGCTATTCCCAGCACAGTGGGGACGGCCACCATTACCACCTGGCAGGAGGGGGAACGTACACTGTAGTTTTAGTCAGTGTGTCAACACCACATCACTATCACAGCTTACTTCGTGGACTTTCAGTGGAAGAATTATTATATATATATTATATTATTAATTACAACAATACCACCATATATTTCAAAGCATCGCTTTTCCAGTCTTTCAAATATTTATTTATACTTCATTAATGAACTTCTAAGTATACATCCTGAGCTTATTCCCTTTGTTTTGTGTGTACAAACTGTTTCGAACTAGTTAAGCTAACTGGCATTAAGCGTTACTCTTACCGACAGTGTTTGTGTTGTAGCTTAATGCGGCTCTAGAAAGCTAACAAAGGCAGGGCTGACAGCTATTAAGGTTAAACAGCTGTTACACACTTTTAAAGATGCAACCTCTGCTAAAATCTTCCTCCGTGTATTCTTTTTAGGAGTCATTCAGCGAAGCTAGCACAGCACACATAGCTAGCAAAGCTTTTTCGTGCAGCGTAACAACGCCTGAGATGTGACAACCAGAACAAGTAAACATTAGCAGCTGCGGGGCACTTGACACCAACACACAGTCTACACCTTCATTGAAAAGTCATTGTAATAAAAGCTAAAAACTTTACTGAAGACAAAATGACATGCATTCACCTTGGCCGCCATGATAGCACTCTCCCCCTTCTTCTGTTGGCTACAGCTTCGTTCCAGCCCAAAAAACCCCGCGGTCGGCTACTGCCACCTAATGGGCTGAAGTGGGTATTGCAGCTCGGCTGTGCTATCCTACTCGTCAAGTAAGTCCACATGTTGCTCACCCACTGAGCGGACAGTTGACCTTTGCTTTTGTACATTTGCATGCGTGTAATCAAAATAAAAATAAACTCCTACTCGCAGTTTCACATGTAAATGAGTTGTTATTTATGTTGCTGAGACATTGCCAGCATCGACCCTGAGGGGGCCACATGTTCCAGCACCACAGGATTTCTCCACATTTAGTTTCGTTTTAATGAAGTGAATATGTATAAGAAAATTTACAGTACTACTTAACTTTGTGATTTAAGATGTGTTCAGTCAGAAATCAACCTACACACACAAAGTTCTGCACCAGAACAGCACAGGTGCACATGTTGCACTGGATTTGATGAAACAGTATCAGTCTAGGAGTGAATTTTTGGGTTGCCGGTGAAGCCACTAGATACCTGAGTTAAGGTTTGCAACATTGTTTACAAATGGAAATACATCAAGAATAGCTGCTGATTATGTTTTTATGTTGTTATTTCAACAGCATCCTTCTTTTGCTCTCCACCTGGACTATTTACCTGCAGGCAACCAAAGCCTGCTCAAACCTGTTTTGTTAGTACTGAGAGTACAAGCAGACTACTAATGGAAGCTTCCAGTATCAATAAACCTTCTCTATATTTATATGCCGAATCTGTTTAGGCAATTGCACATACTCATTCCAATAGTAAGGCCCCAACAAATGGTAAATGGCCTGTATTTGTATAGCGCTTTACTAGTCCCTAAAGACCCCCAAATCCAGTCACATCCAGTCATCCACCCATTCACACACTGGTGATGGCAAGCTACATTGTAGCCACAGCCACCCTGGGGCGCACTGACAGAGGTGAGGCTGCCGGACACTGGTAGGTAACGGGTGAAGTGTCTTGCCCAAGGACACAATGATCGAGACTGTCCAAGCCGGGGCTCGAACCGGCAACCTTCCGATTACAAAGGCGAACTCCCAACTCTTGAGCCACAATCGCTCGGCAAGGCTATAGATCCCCAAGAGATGAATCCAGAATAAAGATTGTCTTTAAAAGAGTGCAGAGAGTGAAGCCAAGTGACAGCCTGGAAACAAAGCTTTTGCCCACCACATTGTAAACTTAAAAAGATATGATGGATAGATGGATGGCACGGGTTGCACAGCAAGCTATAGGGCTTCCTGCCCTTAAATTGAAACTGTTATTAACTAGAAGACACAGCAAAACTCTTCCAATAAATCAGAGGAAAGGCACACATTAACCGGCCATAGTGCAGAGGATTCAGTTTATTGAAGTCAAAGTTTAACAACTTAGGTTTACAATCTGTATTTTCTGTAATATATATTCATATATATGAAACCAAAAAAGGCTACTTTAGGAAGAATAAATGTAATTTTCTTTCTTTTTTAATATCGTCTTTAGTCATTTTAATGTACAGAATAACAGTAAGCTAATATTATCCTTGAAAAAGAGCAATATGTTCCTTTTTTTTAATGTCGCAGTGCAACTTACATCTTACACACCTGTGCAATGTACCATGAGGTGTACACCCCTGAAAGAACACACAGTGGAATCTCCCTTTTCGGCCTGTTTCTGCAGGTTTACACACACAAAAAGATTCGGGAGGAATAACACAGTCGGTGCCTACAAATGAAAACTCTCAGAACTCCTTTAATCTACAGTATGTCAGAGCAGCGGTTGGAGAAAGAAGACCAACACTACAGATGACAAACAGAGAGAGGTCTGCAGACTAAAACTGTATTGTAACTCTTCTACAGCTGCGCGTGTGTGTCTGTGTGTGTGTGTGCGTGCCTGTGTGTGGAAATAGTCAGTCCTTTTGTTGCCAAAGAGAGGATTGGGAGGCACAGGGAAAGTGCTTGCATCATTGAGTTTCTTTGTGTTACTCTCAAATTAATCATTAAAAAACTAACTAGCAAAAAAACAAAAATAAAGAAATAACAGGCAAATAACATGAGCTATATCTCTGGGGCACGTTTGATATTTCACTACAGTGTGACATGGTGAAAACTCATGAAGAAGAACAACAGTAAAATATGAAGACTAAGTACAGACAGTGCTGGATGCAGCAGGTGCTACACGTGTCTCTCGGAGTCCTCGACACTGGGGGGCACCGTTGAGTCCTTGGCCTGATATTGCAGATGAAATGATTCATCCCGGTTTCACAGACATTACAGACCGTTTAGTGCAGAGGTTATGACTGCCCAGTATCAACCATATGCTTAGAGGGAATGTCAAATTAGCTTTCACTTTGGAAGCAACTGCAGTGATGTCACTTGGAGTGAGGTGTCAGAAGCTTCTTTAGGATGCAGGTCGGTCTTCTATGTAAGCCAAACATCAAATCATAACCTGCTGCTTGGATGCTAAAGGAGAAGGAAAAACCTCCCTTAACTGTCATGGTACAGTACGTGTCTCTAAACACTGCAGAATGAAAAACAAAGACTTGAAAGCTACGAGCACATAAAGAAAAAGTCATCCTTCGACGGTACTTTTGCATCTATCATGCGCTACGAGTCTAATTACCTTGCAATTGTGAGAAGGAACAAAAAAAGGAACACAAATGATCCACAGTATTTTACCCTGTCCATTCAAATCAGTCCCAGGCCTTTGTCTCATGCAACGCACCACCCAGAGAATGGTCAGCCGTGATGTAAACCAGTAAAGACCATCAGCGACGGCTGTCGGTCGCATCCTATTTGTTCGACTGCTAAACACCCTGCATCTACAGAGTGAAGAGGGGGACACTGCAGAACCTTGGCATAGAATACATCATACTTTACATTATTTCTATGACACAAAACGTAAATAGATTTTATATAGTCTTCTATGTTTAAATATATTTGTAGACTGTACACAAATCTTTAGAAAATGAGACGGGAAATGCTTTTACCTGATATTTGAACAGCAATGGTAATGAGGCCGATGACACGTAGACCCTGTGATGCAGCCGATGAGATATAGAGATATAGAAAGTGCATTCGTTGTAGTGAGTGACTGAAAAAGAACTCTCTAAGCTCTTGCATTCACGGTTTAAGGAAAAAAAACTATGAAAGAAACCAAAAGAAAGTAATAATAATAAACTTGTTTTGCACCCGCACAAATACATACTCTCTGTCTTCCCTCCGCTACCTCTAGAAGCCTATCACAGTGGTAGTGGAACGCAAACATTTACATCAGTATACACAGCAGTATACACATATACACAAGTCTTTGAGGACTAGAGAAAGAAGTCGCTAAGAAAAGAGAAGGTGATGGAGAGAAACGAGAGGAAGAGAAGATGCCAACAGAACTGCACTCGTTCAGAGGAGACTCCTTCAGCACATGAATCCGGCCAGCGCAAAGGGGTTCTCGCTGATAAACCGACATTGCTGGCTACCTCTCACAGTCTCACACTTTACTTTCCCCGCACTGTCCCGTGAGATCAGCCTGAAATAACAGTGAGGTCCCTGTAACTCAAAAAGATACGCAAGAGGAAAAAAACACAGAGAGAAAGGGGGAGAACTGGTGGCTCTGGGTGCAAAGTTCATCAGTACAAAAGTACAGTGCTGTGGTGAAAAGGGTTTTCCTCTGTATTGCTGCTACATAGCTCCCCCTTACCCCTAAAATAAAGCAGAAAAAAGCAAAAGCAAAACCTAAAGAATATAAAAGAAAACATTTGTGTTAAAAAGTCTGTTTTTTTCCCCCGTTTTGCTTGACAAGCGTGTGGCGTTTATGCTGAGATCCATAGACAAAGGAAGATTAATGCTTTCTGTTCAGGCATGCAATTGGCACCCTGTGGGGTCCTCGGGATTATCAAAAGTTCATACACGCAGGTCTCAGACTGTTCCCTCTATGATATTTACACATCTTACAATGTGTGTGTGTGTGTGTGTGTGCATGCTCAGAGTCGTGACCAGGACAGAGGGTTAGCTAATGTAAAGCTCCGTGTTACTGCGCTCGTGTGTGTGTGTTTGCGTGTCAGTTCAGCCTTTGCTTCTCGTCTCTTTCTCACACGTGGGTCTCGATGAAGGAGTGCGTGTGGGTCATGAGAGGTGCGGCCAGCGGGGAGAGGTCATCCTGGCCGTTGGTGCCGGGGCTGAGCTGGCAGATGTCTGAGTAGAGCTCGCTGTGCCACTGCTTCCATTCTCTGAAGGTTTGGGAGCACAAGCCAGGGTCCTCCAGGAGGGAACAGATCACTGCTAGCTCCGACTCTTTCGCCTGTAGGAGAAAAGCGTTACCGCATTAAATCCTCAAATTGTTTTTTGTGTAAAAAAAACCAACAACAACCTGGTAACGCTTATAATACACCCTGTGATAAAGGATGTAGTTCCCCTGTAATTAAATGGAAATTCAATGTATTTCAGTTGAAACTATAATGTAATTGTTGTATATTTATCTGTAAATACGGACACTAGAATAAAGGGGTAACATGTCAGCCAAGTAAATTGTACTTACACTGTAATTTTAAGTATAGTGTAAGTATGTAATTCTATGGTAATTTTACAGAAAAACATTATTTCCCCATCTTGCATCGTAAGTATGCTGTACTTTTCGGAGTATGGGCCGTATTATGAAGTGGGGAAATCTTGCTTTTTTACATCTTTTTTTTTTCAATTTAATTCAATTCAGTTTTATTCACATAGCACGAAGCATAGAAGCTTCTTCAGTTCTAGGGTCAAATGGTGGAAAGTCCCAGATTTAAGCCGTGTGGGAGTGTCCCCCCAAGAGGGACAATGGACCCCCTAATGATCCTTTACCTAATCACATGAGCCAAGGTGTGAAAACTGATGTAGGTCACAAGCAGCCAGGGTTTCGGGTGAGCTCACTGTGAAACCTAGCCCCACCCTATCATGTGATTTCCTGAGGTCAGAAGGCCCAGGATGTGATTGGGCGTTAGGGCATCTGGGAAGGGATCTCAGAACTGGATTATAGATGTCAGACAGGTGGTGTCGTAAACCACTGCCTCTGTTCAAAGATGGTCGCTCACAGTGGACATAAATGGATTCTTTCAGTCCCTTTTTCAAACCACCTGTCCTCTCTGTCCAAAATGTGAACATTGGCATCCTCGAAAAGAGTGACCTTTGTCCTTTAGATGCAGATGGACCGCCGAGTCTTGTCCCGTGGGGGTCCATTGTCCCTCTTTGGGGGACACTCCCACAGGGCTTAAATCTGGGACTCTCCTCTATATGACCCTAGAACTGAAGAAGCTTCTCGGATGAGAGGTGAAACGTCTTCAAGCAACTTAAAGAAGTCCAGATGCTTTTCTTTCCAAGCTCCTTAGACTACGACGACCTGGATGATTGAGAACCTTCACAGACTTTTAACAGGCGCCATCTTATTTTGGGTCCATCTTTATTTAAAATTCATCAAGTTGTTGTGCATCAATTAATAAATAAAGACGTTAAAAAATAACGATGTGAAAAGGCAAGATTAATCCATTCCATAATACGCCAGGAAAGGTACAGCATACTTATGATGTAAGGAGGGGAAGTATTGTTTGTTTTTCAGCAACATTTCCATGAAATGACACACTAAGGGGTCACGTGACTAAGGGAGTTATGGGTTTACGTGTATTAGAAAGTTTTAAAACATGTCAAATCTTTGTTGCGCTTGTGACAGAAGTTGTTAATGATACCTTCAAGGTGCTACGGAGGGCTCGGACCCGGTGCAGCCTGTCGTTGAGCAGGGGGTCCCTGGCTCTCTGGATGAAACAGCGTCGAAGCTCCTGCCTGCTACATGGTCTAGGGTCTCCTAAAGCTGTCACGTTGGCTTGCTCCAGGGCCCGATAGAGCTGCTCTAGCCCATCCAGCGGCTCGGGCTCGCGGCACTCTGAAACTCGCCGCTCCCGTCCCTCCGACACCCTCCTCTCTCTGCTCTCCACTCTCAGCTCCCGCAGATCTAACGAGACGAGCGGTGAGAGTCAGACCGATCATGTACAACTGACAGTTAGCAAACAAAGTCGCATGTCATCCCACGCTCCTCAGAGATATTCTCGTTTTCTTTGGGGGGGTGGGGGTGGGTTTCAGAAGTTAACTGAAATGTTTTTGTCCCATGTCTAGATTTGGATACCTTTATACTAATGTGACACTGTTTTGTCTTTACAAAATAAATAAACTGTGAAGTAAAGAGAATTAGTTCACTCTGATCACTGGCACAAGTAATACTAAGAGCAGTATAAATAGTTTCACATGTGTCACACAGCAGGAAAGAGTCTATTTAGATGCATTCATAAAACTGGGAATTCTCAGTGGTTTAGGCAAGAGCTGCCTGGATACAATGATCAGATTGCCGCACATGTGACGCCCACCTGCTAGCATGTACTGGAATATTAGCTGTGTTATTCGCATATTGGTGCAAAAGGTATTCGTATGAGGGAATTCATGCAAAATTTCAAGACTGCAGTGCATCTGCAAAAACAGCTTAAGGAGAAACTATTACTTTCAGCTGCTCCCTTATTCATGAGGGGTCACAACAGCTGGTAGCTGCATGTGTCTGATTTAGCAGATTTTTACACCAGATGCCCTCCTGATGCAACCCCAAAGGGATTTGTGTCTCCTTTTGGGATCAAACTGGGAATTTTCACTGGGATCTTTTGTTAGCTCTACCTCCTTAATACAAATAAAACTTATAGTTGTACCCTTTTTGGAGAGTGAACCTTTTGTTTGGTTACAGTGGATTTATGCATTCATGTTAAACCTTCGCTGTAGGCATCTGTATGTCATTGCTGCAAACCCTTTTAAATAACCTAACATGCACTTTCCTATCTACACATGGCATCGCCACAGGCCGCACTGGTATGAATACTGACAACAGAGTGGAAGGCTTGTGTACAGTTTGGGCCACAAGTTTACAAACACTCATCATGGGCATGAATACCGTGGTCATTTTGGGCTTTTAATGATTTCTTTGTACTGTTTTATTTTCCAGTGTGGAACTATTATACAGCATCCATCTTTGATGACTATAAAAAAAACAAGAACTCCTGCACGAGTTTGAATTCATTTAGGATTTTCTCTGATCCACACAGGCTCAAGCTTATACATACACTCATTTAAATGTCTCAATAAATGCGTTTCAACTCGATATCACAGCAAAATGTGAAAGACGCGCCGGTCCACCGTTTCCATTTCACATTTTCGTCTCCAAAATGTGAAATGTACGTGCATGCAGAAGTTGAAGTAAGTTGCAAAAGTTTTATGTTTAGATGAAACAAATATTTAACTATTTGGCAACAATGACATGAGGCATGTTGAAGGTGAGGCTTTTAAACATAAGAACATTGTACCAGCTGTCAAGCATGGTGGTGGTAGCATCATGCTTTGCTTCTGGTACAATGCATAAAGTGGATGGAATAAAGAAGGAGGAAGTCTACCTCAAACTTCTCTAACTTCACTTTAAACCAGTTGGTATATGGCTGAAAAGAAACGAAACAATGATCCTGAAAACACTTTAAAACTGCTTTGGAATAGATAAAGCAGATCAACATTTAGTGTCTGAAACTTAGTATTGAAAATTTGTGGAGAATGTGTCAATGCCAAGTCCGTGCCTGGAAACCAACCAATTTAAATGAACCTAGTGCCAAAGAGAGGGGTCAACTATCCATCCAGGATTATGCCAGAAGCTCGTCGATGGCTCCCAAAACATCTGCAACTCGGTGAGGGACATTTACCCAAATATTAGTGAAGGGTGTACATATTTATTTGACCCTACATGTATACTTTTGACTTTCTGTGGATTAGAAAATACACTCAAACTTGTTCCCAGTTCTTGTTTTTTAGAACTTTTTAAAGATGTTGCTGTACAATCATTTGATCCTGGAAAAAGAAGAGTTTAAAGAAATCATTTAAAGCCCAAAACCATGAGATTCATGCCCATGATAGGTGTATATACACTTAGAACCACTGCAGACTGTTCTGGGCTCTACATAGATTCAAAGCAGAAGTTTAAATTAAGTTTTAAAGTTTAAAAGAGCTTTTGTTTGTTTAGTAGAAATGGGAATATTAGAGAAATATTATTATATAATATTTATAGAATGTTTTTACATTTTTGTATCTGACAATGATCACATCATCATCATCATCATCATTTATTTATATAGCAATTTAAAAACACACCTGGTAGACCAAAGGACTGTACAATACTAATATGCACATAGTAATAAAACCAGACATAGCAATAAAATAAAAACAAACAAACAAACAAAAAAAAGATACATGACAGCTTATATTCATTTCATAGTTGACTGTATTGAACACTGTTAGAAAACTGGGCTTTTTTAAAGCCTGAAAAGTCAGTGATTACATACTAATCATTAAATTAACCTGAGCCAGACATATTAATTTCCCTCTGGGAATAATAAAGTTATTCTTATTCTTCTTATTGTTAATGACTGAGCTGACAATTACTACATATTTTGACCTATGTAAATATGGGTGGGAGGATAAAAACAAACACAGGACTAAGATTAATAGTTATATACAAAATAACACTGTAAACTTGATCAATTTTACATCATTTTGTGTCTCAATTTCTATAAAATACTCAGAGGTTATGCACTACTTAAAGTTTCTTAAAATATAGTTATTTCTTTATCATCATTACTTCTTTATGTCCTGTGAATAGTTGCTATAAATAGCTGAATTGTTACCCGATTACTTTAGATAAATATAACTGTATACTTTAACTTAAATACATGACATTAATATTTTGTCTAACTCATACAACACTAGGAAAAATATTAACCCTGTAACTTTCTTACCCTCCTCACCCTCAAGCATATCTGCAGCCTGCTCTTCTGCCTCCTCGTCTTCACTCCTCTCCTCCATGTGAGCAGAGGTGTGCAGCAGCTTTCCTGGCATCGGGTCCCTGTTCCTGGGGAGACTCTGGCTCCGCTGCTTGTGGGAGCGCCTGTGTGTGTGGCTGTGTGTGTACGGCCCCCGCTCCAGAGGGAAGGGCCCGTCCCGTTCTCTGTCCCTCTCTGCGGCGTGGTGTCTCCGTACGGGCAGCGTGGCCTGCCTGCGTCTCTCTGGGGACATGCCCTGTCTGCCCAGCCCTCCGTAGAACCCCATTTCTCCAGCCATGCTCCCCATTAAGCCGCCATACTCACTCTCCCCCGGTGCTGTCTGGAGGAAGTGCAGCCCTGCGCTGGTCAGAGGGGTCTCAATGAGGTCCTGCCAGGAGCGTCGTTCACGATGGGAAGAGCGGCAGCCGGATGAGTGGGTACTGGTGCTGCCTGTGCCAGTGCCCATGCCCATGCCGTCTCCACGCTGGTCCTCGGCAGAGGAGTGGGAGTGTGTGGACTCGCTGGAGAAATGCCGACCATGCTTAGGCTCCGGGAAGGGGCTAGAAGAATTAACCTGTGGAGGGAGAGGGGAGGTGGAAGAGACCATCTGTGGAGGAATGGGGGAGGTGGAGGCACTCATCGGTGGGGGGAGTGGGGATGGAGTGGAGCGCATGAGGCTCATGGAGCTCACTGAGCGGGGCAACTGGTCATAACTGTGGAGGAGGTTAGCCTGAACGGATGAAGAGTAAGAGAAGTGAGCAGGGATAGATAAAAGGGGTGAAGAGTGAAAGGTGAGCACAGATACAAGGAAACAGTGACCCGCAAGACGAGGAGGAGGAGGAGGTGTGCAAGGGTGGAGAGAGGACAGGAGAAGGACAGAAAGAGAGCAAAAGATGAGAATAAAAAAGCAATGAGATGGCTGAAGAGTAATCCAAGAATGACTGACATGAGCATTGTGTGGCTCAGCTGAGATATTAATGACACCAGTGCCACTGGATTTTAATTCTCTGAGTAACATCAGAGCAGTGATGTAATGAGCATGTGCATGTCGCCACCTAGAGGTCAGACTAAGTACAAGTTCTGGCAGCAGAACACAGAGAAGTGATGGTCTTGGCTGCTTACAGAAGCCGTTAGGCTCACACTCTGATGTTTTATTAATGCCGAGCTCTGGTCTACGCAGATCTGAAAACTGTGGGGCTTTTAAGAATCAAATATTCTATCAGAATGAAACATTGCAAAGGAGTGTAGTTGAGTGTGTTACTTACCGATGGTGTGCGATGGTAAGTATCACAGAGGGATGAGGGTCCCTCCTGTTTGAGTGTCATCGAGCCATCGACGTCGTCTTGATCGCTCTCACTCCAATAGTCTGACGTGACGATAAATACACATGCACATACAAAATTGTGCTAGTTATACACACACACACACACACACAAAGTTTGAGGGAATCCTTTCTTGTCTAGCCCATCCACCTCACCTTCATCAGGGCGAGGCACCTTATCATCTGGTGTGTATCCAATAGCAGCTAGACCCAGCCGGTTCATCCACCTACAGGAAAGAAGTGAAGCAAGGCATCAAAGGATAGATGAGAATACGTGTAGACAAGATGATGAGAAGGAAGGATGGGTTATACTTGGTAAATGGTAGGTGATGAATAAAAAAACTTTCACTCTAAATAATTTAAGTTGTTTCTCTTAACAGCTGATGTCTGTCTAACTGACTCTATCCCCCTCAAAGAGAGGAGAAAGGCTTTGAGATAATTAATGAGATGGAGGCAGAAATAGAGAAAGACAAGAGAGAAAAACAGCCATTCTCTCTGAAGATTGAGTCTCCGATGCTGTCTGCCTCCACGCTCCTGTCTGTCTCCAAACAGATCCCACCTTGTCCCGTGTCTCTCTACAGTCACCTAATAATAAAGTTGTGACTAAGAATAGTCTCCGACTTTGACAGGTTTCCTGTTCTTACAAACTACAGTAAGTAGGGCCTCCAACAGGAAATGACACACGCATTACATTTTTAAATTAAAAACAAAAAAACCTCATGAACAAAAAAAGCAGCAACCCCTGCAGTTACTGGAGTAGCCACTTGGGGCATACTTCAAAGGTAAATAAATATCCATACACTTTTATTTTCAATATTTACAGAAAAAATGCCTTAAAGTTGTTGATATTTTTGCTGCTAGGTGTCACTGTAGCAAGGTCACTGAACTGGACCTGTGCTTTTTAATTTTCTGAAAAATAATGGCTTTATACAGGGTTAACTGTGCTAATAGCATGTTCAATCTCCATTTTAAAAAAAAAGTTGTTTTTGTGTGTATAAATGAAATCCTAGTTTATTTGTTTTTATAGCACAGTTGTACAGTATGTTAGCACTGATTAGCAAGTATCTGTCGGAGCAAAGCACCCATTCAGTCTGCAGATGCTAACCGACTTGCTAGCGTTAGCTGGTAGCTTAATGCTCTCATGTAAATGTGGTGATTTCTATCTAAATTAAAAGCAAAAATAGACCAAAACACAAGGTATCACCAGCAAAAATGCTAAACTTTAAAACATTTTAAATAAGCCTTCGTTAACCAGTTGTTGAAGTCATGTTAATTATGCTTTTATGTTTTTTTTTCTGCTAATAGCTCATATAGCTATTACTTACACCTACCGCATATTAATCCTTATATAAAAATAGTTCCTCACAATCCAATATTTTCCTCTTCTTTGATAAAAAAAAATGTAGCGCCAAGCTTTATTCAGCCCTTTTTAATAACACATTTGCCACCAACCATTTGTTATGATATGCACTATGTTCAAAGCTTTGGAATAAGTTTCACAAAACATTCAGATATTATTGAGGAACAATGTCTCTATTGATGTGGTTTTATCTTGGCTAGGTTTCGGTGTTTAATCCCGAGTAGGTGTGGATACTGGAATGAATGGTTGTCTGCCACTGGGTTAGCCCTGTGATAGACTGGCCTCTCATCCAGCAACCCTGAATTAGATTTGCGGTTAAGACGGATACATGGATGCATTCCACAGGGAAACAGAAACCTTTTAGGACTTTGTGAACCACCACGAAGAATCAGGATCTAAATTTAGCTTCACTGTAAGTGCTGAAAAATGCTAACACCCACCTTTTCACACATAATGCCCAAGAAAATGTGTGAAACAACACTTTCACACAGGAACACTCCAGATGAAGTATGGAAGTCAAATATAGCTGATTAATTACTCTCTTCCAATTAACTCCCCATGTCATTGAGGAGAGGTGTGGATAATTAGAGCCCATCAGATAGCACTCCTGCAAATATATCTCTACAATCTATCTCTTGCAAGCACACACGACACAGACACACACACACACAAACAAGAGCATTTAACAAAGGAGGGCCAAGTTCATGCCTTATTCATGCTTAGAGTTGTGTTGGTGAGTTGTTCCCTGTGTAAACTTGATTTACTCCATTAAAATATTCATTAAAGGACACGTGACGTCCCCTGTCTCTGACGTTGGTCCATATTTAAAGAAACAAACCCAAAACACCACCCCACACACGTTTAGAAACTTGTATATATTCACAGTAACTCACCTGTTCATTTCCTCAAGACAATCTGTGGCGAAGAAGAAGCTCTTGATTTTTGGATGACAGGCTTTGAAGGCACTGCAGTCAGTCAGGGAGAAGAAGGACTGATTAGTGTTTTTGCGTGTGCGCAGTGGGTTTGTGCGCGCTCACGTTGTGTGGGTGAGCGCACATGTGCTTGATTAGTAATTTTTGGCGACATGTGAGAGACACTCACAATTTCCGTCTGCACTCTATGGCTCGGTCTATTCTGAACTCAGGGAGGCTGATGAAGCCCTCAGCCTTCTCATCCTGCAGGCAGAGACAGATGGAGAGTGGTGGTACAGCATCAACACACAGAACAAAATGTCATGCATACCAATTTTATTTGGGATACTAAGACTCTAGTCAAGCATATGAAAACAACATATGTTGTTTACATTGGCTGGGATAAAGTCCTTTTCCTACTTAACATTAAAAAGACAAGCTATGACTATCATAGCCAGAACATGGAGATAAAATCTTCTGCATAAACAAACTCATCCACTGTTAATTTAGTCTCGATGAGATTTTGGTTCAAAATTCAAAATATTTCACATATACACTAACTGGTCAATTTATTAGGTACACAACCACATTGCAGCAACTCTGTTCATTTAGGCATGTAGGCATGGTCAAGACAGCCTGCTGAAGTTCATTTAAGTGACTCATTTAAACTGATTTAGGTGACTTTGACCATGGCATGGTCGTTGGTGCAAAACCACTAATCTACTGGGATTTTCCCCTTACAGCTGTCTTTAGGGTTTAAGGACAAATGTCTGAAAAAGAGAAAACATGTCAAAGGTGGAAGACTAGCCAGACCACTTCGAGCTGATAGGAAGGCAACAGTAAGCAGCAGAAGACCAGACCAGGCGCCACTCCTGTTAGCTAACAACAGGTAAATGAGGCTGCAATTCACACAGGCTAATCAAAATTGGACAACAGACGATTGGAAAGAATTTGCCTGGTCTCCTGAGTCTCGATTTCTGCTGCTACAGATAACAGTGTCAGAATTTGGCATAAACATCATGAAAGCATGGATCCATCCTGCCTCGTCTCATCTGCTGGTAGTGGTGTAGAGGAGGATTTCTTGGTACACTTTGGGCCCCTTCGTACCAAGAGAGCATTGTTTAAACACCACAGCCTACCCGGGTATTGTTCATGTCCATCCCTTTATAACCACAATGTCCCCATCTTCTGATGGATAATGAGATCAACCGAACGATCTTAAACTGGTTTCTTAAACGTGACTATCAAATGGCCTCCACATTCACCAGATGTTCACAGTTCACAGACAACTGTGTGTTGCTGTCATGTCAATACGGACCAAGATCAGCGAGAATTTTTTTCAGTACTTTGCTGTAAAACATTAAATGAATTTTTGTTGACATTTTTTTTGTAATGAAATTTTTCAATTGAAAAAAGTATTATTTTATTTTAATTGACTAAATTATGCATTTCCTAGTTGCAGTCCAATTATAAGACATGCTGGCAGAGATGTAGAAATGATATTAGCCTTTTTTTCTTGATTTTATGAGAAGATTTCATTACAGGAACAGTATGGGGTTCCATTTGTATTAAAATTATGGTCACATACACACTTTCTATGTCAGATGAAAAGGTTCATGTCAACTCTGAACTGTACTCCAGCACGGACAGGCAGACCGTCAACATCTGTCACCTCACAAATCACCCGACAAGTCATCTTTGTGTCGGTGTACTTCTGGTTCTGCATGTTGTCCTTATGTGTTACCTGGCTTCTTGTTTTTTACTAGTATCCTCATTATTACTTTGGCTGGTTCTATAGCCAAAACTACACAACACAGCCAAATGAAAGGAAGTAAGATGATGTTTTGTCAAATGTTTGTCTGAAACAGACAGAGGAGATGTAAACCTGATTTCAGCAGAAACAGAACCTCATAAATAAGAAAGAAAAGCCTCAAAATTGAAGAGAAAATCATTAATATTAATATCCTGTAGCACTCATTGCTATATGCTATTAATAATGCCTCATATGGTGTTTTTGTCTTTTATTCAAAAATCTAATTTGGTCTCTAATTTGAAAGACAGCCATTATAGTCATTTGAAATATAATAATGTATCTGTATTAGACACTGTATTACACTTCATATGTGGACTGGTGAAGTTTTGTGTTGAAACTGTGACAACTAGCTGGTGTTCATTAGTTCTGGCAACAATAAGCACGGCAAAATTGCTGTGTTTTTGATTGTAATGCCTTACGTTTTGGTTGGTGTACCAGTAGAGACAAGACTCTTTGAGGATAAACCAGTACTTCCTCCATTTTTGGGTGAAGTAGCCTTTAGCGTCCTTCTTTTTCCATAGCCAGCCTTCACAGTCACCGTGGCCGAGATCCTTACAGGAGATTCTCCTTCGACTGGCACTAGTGAGGGAACCTAGCGAGGGAGAGAAGAAAGACCAAGAATCCTGAAGGTCTGACAGTGAAAATAAGTACTCTGTGTGTGCTAACATGTAATCAGTATTTGAAGTTGCTAATGCTAACAAATGAAATCCAAATGTTAGGAGTCTATTCTTTATCTCTGGGAGAATTTTAATCCCTGTCATTATCTCACAGTGATGAGTGATCATGTCTGGAGTTTAGACACATTTTCAGGGTAAATCACGGGGGCCTCAAGTGCTCCCATACATGCAGCACTGCAGTGTGTTACTGTGAAGATCCTACACTGGAAAATTAAAGAGAAAAGTACCTACCTTTACTTCTCTTTTTGGTTTTCGTTCTTAGGGAGGTGTAATGGAACGACTAGATGGGGGAGAAAAGAAAGATATTAGAGAGAAAGTCTGTGGTTGTTTAATGGATGTACCACACAGCTAAGCGGCTAGCTCACACCGCAATGTTTAGCTGATTTTTTCACAATTTCATCAGGCACACTCCAAAGAGGATTACAGGCACAGGGCACAAGGCTAAACCTACCAGAGAGCAGGAAGTGACCTACAATCAGTAATAACCTGTGTGCCAAAGAGGTCAGGACTGCTCTTCTTTTAGACTTTTAGTAATTTAATAAAATACAAGTCTAACTCCAAAAAAGTTGGGATCTTGTATAAAATGTAGAAGCGGATTGGAGTGATTTGCAAGTCTCATAAACGTATGTTTTAATCACCACAGAACATAGGAAACATATCAAATGTTTAAATTGAGCTATTTTGCTATCTAATGAAAAGTCTAAGGAGCTTGGAAAGAAAAGCGTCTGGAATTCTTTAAGTCGCTTAAAGACGTTTAAAGAAGTCCCAGATTTAAGCCCTGTGGGAGTGCCCCCGTGTCCCGTGGAGGTGGCTCTTCTATGTTGTGCCATTTGTTTGTGAAGTTGCTGTTTGGTCTCTCCAATGTAACATTCCTCGCTACACTGTACAAATCCCTGCATGGACTTCCAAAAATCAGTGTCTACAAACAAAGTTAGAAGTCTGTATAGGAAGAAACTGTTTGTGAACATGATGCTGTGTTCTCTGAGCTGAAGAGACGGGACCATCCGGCTTGGTATCAGCGTTCAGTTCAAAAGCCTGCATCTCTGGTGGTATGGGGTAAGTGCTTATGGAATTGGCAGCTTGAACATCGAGCAAGGCACCATCAATGCTGAGAAGCATATACAGCAACATGTATGTTTCAGCACGCAAGGCCTTCCCTGACGTCATATTTCAGCAAGATGATGCTAAGCTGCTTACTGGATTTCTTACAACAGCGTAGCTTCCCAGAAGAAGAATCTGAACAGGCCTGCCTGCAAACCAGAACTGAACTAACTGAAAATAAAAAAAAATGACAAAGGAGACAAAGGAGACCAAGGACTGTGGAGCAGCTAGAATCCTACATCACACCAGACAACATTTCTTTGCCAAAAGGAATGTTTTTCTAATATGGTACATTTTCTCCTTTTAAACATTTGGTATGTTTTCAGTTTTCTATTGTGAATAAAAGATGAGTTTATGACAATTTCAAATCTCTAAATTATGTTTTTATTTTACACTGCACCACAGCTTTTTTTTCTTTAAATTGGGGTTGTACAACAACTGTAGATATTTTTCATACTTTATTGAAATGTATACGGGATAGAAACAACCCTCTGTTTTTCCTGTGTTGACAGTAATGTGTCTACTCTTGTAAATGAAGTTGCTAGCATGACATTTACTGAACAATAGCACTTGTGACCAGTTATAAAGTCATTTAGTAATATGTCATACACAGCAATATCGAAAACCAGCTGACAAAAGCTTCCAGACTTAAGGCTATATGGGATAAAACAACTACTGAACTGTTTGTATTTAAGGGAGCCCCTTATAGCTTAATATTGTAACTTTTTATATGCGAGTACAAAAGTGTTTTATTTCTTCTTAGTGACTTAGATTGAGAAAACTTTAATGTCATCCAAGAGGCAATAAAAGTGCACAAACCAAACAGAAACAGCAGCAATCCAAAGCTATTATAACAGTCTAGTGGATGTCAGTAGCTGTAAACCATGATTTGCATAGAGTAAAATGCAATTGTTTTATATATCTGTGCATTCCATCACCCGAGTCCAAGTATGACACCAGTGGCTAGACTACCGCCTTGAGAATAAATGAGTTTTTTGCTCTTTTGGTTTTGATCCTTGGATGTTTGTACAGCTGGCCAGAAGGCTGTGGCCCAAACTCTGAAGCTCAGAAGAGTTGGACTTTACCCATGCAGACCTTTGTCTGCACTCTCAGTCAGGCTCAGTCAGGTATAGGTGTTTAAGGTCAGCCTGCTGCACCCAAATGATTTTCCCACAAGAGTTTTCTACATAAAAAAAACTGTAGATCAAAGAAGCTAATGCGTGTTTAGGTGATAGCATTAGTACTAACACAAATGAACAAGCCTAGCAGCTATTTGTTTGTCTGTTTACAGTCAAACAAGGTTAGTCACTGTACACGACAACTCATGTTGCTTTAGAGAAAAGACTGGGGCTAATGACTAAAGCAGCTCCCTGTGCCACAGTAGCCTAAAAATGGAAACCAATTCAACTTACCCGACTGTTATCTTTTTATTCAATTATAGAAGTGCTAAATTGATTTAATCTCAGAAATCTCTCCTGCTCCTGTCTGGCTGTATGTTCAGCGATTAAGACATAATCGATCTCCATGTAACAGCGAGATGCGGTTGCTAGGAGATTGTTGATGTAACTGTTGCTTCATTAAAATGGTGCCAGAGTCAGAATCAGTATACTGAAGGCAGTGTTGCTTGAAAAACCCCATCATAATAAAGCATGTTAAGAAATATAAAGCCAGTCCCCTTAGCACTGTTTTCCCCCTCACCTTCCTCATGGAGGCAGCTCCCGAGCTTCCTGAGCCCGAGTACCTGCAAGAAGGCACAGAGCTGAAAGTCAGCACAAACGACTCTCACAACCTCTTCCACCAATCACAAGCGAGCGGTGAAACCGCCGAACAACCACGGACACAAACTCACCTGTCTGTTGTGTCTGCCCTCAGTGTCTCCGCACCTCTCTGAAAAAGAAATAAAAATCATTAAATAACCTCTGAAACCTTCCATAATTCTGCACACATATTTACACTGCACTGTATAAATGAATGAATAACAGCTAAAATGAAAACACCACAGTTACTAGACTCTATAACGTGATGATCACAGCAAAGCTGAGGATCAAGACTCATCAGCACTGCACTGCCTTTTTTTACTGAATTGTTTTATGTTGCAGTCGAGTCTGCAGGCAAACTATTTGTGGCTAACTGCAGTGTTACGAGAATTGCTCCCAATTATAACACCAGAAACATAATGACCTGAAGGGGGAGAGTGTCCCAGTAATATAATAGATATATGCTCCTGAAAAGTGACATTTTGCATTATAAACCACTTTGTTGTAACCACTTTAAATATGTTTTGATCCTAAAAATTTTATACTCCCAGGCCACTAAAGTAGGATTTTGATTTTTTACTTAAGCAATGGGTTGGGTTCATAAGTATTTGGACAGTAATGCTAATTTCGTAATTTTGCTTCATGCACCACTGCAGAGGATTTTTAATGAAAATACCAAACAATTATTAAAGTGCAGACTTTGCTAGGCCTTTACTGCAATTGTTGCCACTTTTCTCTTCGGCTGTCATTGATTGACTTCATTGAAGGATGTCACATTTCTTTACCTTGTGAAT